CGGCCCCGCTTGGTACGCGGCGGAGGAACCCTGCAGCGAGCTGCTGCTTCCCTGGGGACGCTCTCGGCTGGCCTTCCCGGAGCGCCGGCAAAGCACCGACGAACCGACTGCGGAGATCCCGCTCTGAGCGCGCAGCACTGCCAGCCTCGAGACAAACAAACCGGCGTGACGCTCGGAATTTCTGTGCACCGTTCCAGCTCTAAGGAGAAGGAATAAATAAAGGGACAAGTAAACGTCAGCTGGAGAAACGCAGCTGCATGTCAGCGGCTCTTCCTTTATCCCACAGAATCTGTATGGTTTCCGCAGTATCAGCACAACAGTGACATTGCCACCCTGAGGTTATGGAATAGTGTGATCCTTTCAGTCCAGCCGACAGCCTTGAACACCAGCTCAGGGAAGCTAAGGTTACAACAGGAGTCTTTCCAAATCATCAGGTGAGAACAGCCCAGAGGAAGGGATTAAGAGCACTTTAACTACTACAATCCTTACAAGAATCCTTCCATCCCCCCCAGAACATCTCACCCTTTGCTGGTAAGGCCTTGGGTTTCATCCAAAAGCCCTTGGCCAACACCACCAAACAGTTCTCAACTCCACAAAAGGCAACTTTATAACGTGAGTGAGCTTCCTGCAGGGCCTTCACCAACCTGGGAGTTTTGGCAGTGTCAGTCTTATTACCGTGACAATGTCAAACAAATGCTCGTTCTGTTCAGCACAAGAAATACAGGGCAGTCTGATTCCCCTTTTTGTGTCTAACCTCTCACATTTTAATCTGATGTGCCAGAGCCTCTTGCAGTTCAACATACACGTGTATACACGTACACTCCTTGCAGGCTTGTAATGCTGTAGAGAGATTGCGAGGTTTTCTTTCTTCTAGCCAAGGAAATTATAAACAATTTTAACTTTGCTCTCACCAAGTTAGGATATCATTACAACTAGAATTGTACCTTACAATGAAAGTGTTTTAAAGTCAAGCTAATAGGAAAATGAGACTGCCATCCAGACAAATCTGAACTACGCTGGGTTTTTTGCATGTGCTAAAACACAAAAACCATGTTAGTGTGCACATTCTGCTTACTTTGCTAGTTAAAACGCTAGAAATAAGGAATTAAATACCATTTTTTAGGATCTAGGTTCTGAAAGACCACAGTTCTGAATAAAGTCAAGAATAAAGTCTGACAGCCCCATAACTGGATGAAAGAAAAAAGCATTCTTAAACCAGAATTCATTCACAAAACTGAAGTCTCCTGCTGATCTAAAAATGAACTGATCTGGCAATGTTTGTAGAAAATGAAATGCACAGTGGCATGGGGGACAATCCATACTGTGCCTTTAGGATCTGAATTGTGAATTATTATCCTTCGCTCCGCAGCACAAGAGGCCAGCTACTTCCCAACATTCCGTTTCTTCTCCCCAAAAAGCTTCTTTCAAGGCTTTAACTTGATTTTGAGGTTACCGGTTGAACAGTTTCACTAGCATAAAGGTATACAAACCGCTCACATACAAAAACCTCCAAGTCCTTTATTAATGTTTCCAGGATGTATGTGGTACATACAATTAACATTACACCAGCTACGGGAAGCCCTCTGTTGCAAGAGGTACTTCAAAACAGGTATCCCAGAGCACCAACACAGACACACAAACACAGACACTACAAATCACTTAGAAATTATTTCCCCCCCTCCTCCCTGCCCCCTGTTTTTAATTTTTTATCTTGACAACTAGGACTTCCGAGCCCTTAGAGATTCTGAGTGCGGCAGATCTCGGGGCGCAGTGGCACTGGTTTAAGACACTAGAAGGTCAGAAGAACAAGAACCGAATGGGGTAACTGAGAGCGGTGTGGTTTTCAATGCTTTCAAGCACGGCTGCTGTCTGGGTGGATACCTGCATGTCAGCCTCCTGGTGTCCCCTGCAGAGTCTTCTCCTGCAGTACAGGTGCGTACACACCTTGTGTGCATTTACCCCTAAGCTGCAGGACAGAAGAGGAGCGCTGTCCACCACACTTGGCATCACTCGTTCCAATTAGTAGGCACTGACACATCAGGAGGGTTAAACAGATGGGACTGGAAAGACTTCAAAAAAGGGATGAGCCTGAGAGAAATCTTTGTTCATTATGACAGATCAGTGACAATCCCGTCAGATCACCAGGCTTCGCATGTCCATCTGTTCTTTAAACTCATCCTTTTTATTCAGATGCTCTGCTTAAAAATAAACACAAACTACAAAAAGGTTTGACTCCATTCTATACAGGTTCTCCTTCTCCAGAGTTGCCATTTCTGGCTCTTACGCCTTCTCCTTTCGCTTCAATTTGGATACTTTCTTGACAGTTCCGTTCTTGTTTAGAAGCTTCAAAACACGATCCTTGTGATCCAAGACCTTTAGCATGGAGTCTCGAGCCTCATTGATTTGATCCATCACAAGTTTACACCTCTGCATGTTCCCCTGAAACGAAACACTCTCGTCAGTCACAGCAGACCATCTCGTCTAAGCAACCGCGGTACATTTTCCCAACACCACTCGGAACCGGTGACCCTGGAAACACGAAGCGTACCGACGCGACTGGGTTGTTTTACAGCCAGCCTTAGCTCGTACTAACCGCAGCAGTACATATGGTCGTTCTGCTGGGCTGGGAGGCTGTAGGAACCTACCTGTATCAGCTCGTTGATTCGATGCAAGTCGTCATCAGTCGCTGCCTTTTTCTTCGGAATGAGTCCCTCCTGCAGGGCTGTCAGTCTCTCATACACATCGTGCTCCAGGTTTGTCTAAAAGACAACAGCGCTCCGTGAGAAGGTTCGCCGCCGGGCCGCGAAACATTCGCCCGCGTTAAGAAAGCGACACAGAGAAGATGATAATCGGTTCCCCTCTCGGCTGCTCACATTAGTAATTCAGAAGATGGAGCCTCTGACATAGAGCGTGGCACTAACATCCTACTTACAGATCGCTCCACTTCTGAACAAACATGGATCCTAACCAGGACTGTTTCCCCTACTTCTCACAAAACTATTCCAGGAATGCAGAGGTTTTGGGGAGTTTGGTGCTAGAATGCAGAGCACCTACCTCACCCCCAACCTGAAACAGAAGCATCCAGGAATGTGGATCAGTGCTGCCTCCTCAGATCAGCCGCACCATCCCAAACAGACGCTTCTTCAGACCTGTGCATCAGCAGGAGGGAGTTGCCAATTTTGATCATCTGTACAAAATACATCAGCTCTTATGTCTGGATCAAAACCAACACTAAGCTTCCAAGCCACTTATGCCACATTCCTGAGAAAGGGGAAAGCACGTCCCACTCCCTTTGGGCACTACACACCAGCTTCTTTTGGGTATCCCAGTGCCAGCTGACCGTGTACTCGGTTTGTACCAACGTCCTCCTGTCTCACACACCTCTGTGTTCCCCCACGTCGCAGGAAGCTGGCAAGCCCCATGCACCTACCAGCTGTACTAGCTGCGCCGCACAGAGATGGACCTTCCACCCTTGAGCACGACAGGATACACCCTTCTGATTGGCAATCTCCTGTAGCATAGCCTTCTTCTCTTCTGCCACCGGGAAAGACGGAGAAGTGTTATTCAAATTGTAGGAGGTCACCACACCTCTCTAACAAAAACATTAACTCAAGTCCTGCTCTATACATCTTAATAAACGAGAATGAGCAATGTTTTGATTCAGACAGGAAAACAGCTACTCATCTGCCACGTATCTGACCGATGCTCTCGCTTATTAACAGGCTACCTTGTTTCCAGAAAAACTGTATTCTATTGCATTTTTTTTCCCATTTGAAGAACGTAGTTCTCAGCACTTCACACACCCTGCATGGAAAAGGGTCCATCCTTTACCACTGAAATACATGGCGACTCCCTCCCTTTATCACTGAAATACTTATCTACTCCCTTCTTGACGTATTTACAGTTGCAAAACCCCAATCTGGTTAAAAATTCTATTATATTAGCTAAAAAAGCCTAAAACCCAGTATCTGATCTTTATTTTCCTTATATTAGAAAACATATTCTTTAGAAGTTCATTTGTTAGTTGACAAGAGTAATGCTAGATCTAGAATGTTTCTGATTAAATTGGCAAGTTTGTTGAGTAGTAAGAAGATCAGAAAACTAAACTGTAGTGTATCACCACAGCATGCCATTTCTTTAAGGATTACTTTCTTCACTAAGTTTCTGTCACTGCATATAAATACATTTCTCAATAACTGTATGTTTTTTTACAAAATTACAACTAACTACATTATTTCCTTTCCCCCTCCTTTTCTCCTCTATGTCGAAAGCAGGAGAGAAGCTTGTGAAAGTCATGAGTTCACTTGATCAACCCTTCTTTTCCAAACTGCCATCAGAGCCTTTTTGTGGGCTCACTTCTCAACAGTAGTGAGCTAAGAGCACTCCCAGAACACCCTTATCCGGTATGCCGAAGCAGTTCATCCCAGCTGGATGCAACTGCCAAGCTACACACAGCAGACTGACCTTTCACCCGGACGTCGCTGTATCTCTGAAAGTGGTGGTAAGCAGCTTTCCAAGGATTGCGATAATGACGGAGCAATGTGATAGGCGGCCTTGGACGCACAGGGACGTATCTTACACCTTCTTCATCTAGAAAAGGATCGGGGGAGAACTGCATCATTATCACGTGGGTGAAAGCAGGAGGTCAGCATGACACAGGAACGCCAGCAGCAGGTCAGAAAGCATGACTTCATACAAAGTGATGCTCTGTGCATTGAGAAAGGTCATTTCCCCTGAACAACACTACACAGAAAAAGCTGGGGAACAGATACTTGGATTCTGTATCTGTATTTAGGAAGCTGGAGAATAACAGAGCACCTCCTCTGAGAAACAAAAGGAAGCAAAAATGCAGACATTTGAGCAGGAAAAAAGGACACCAGAGATGACATTACCTATATACTCCTTTGGAGGAGACTTGCGTTTCTCTGCCTTCACCAGCAAGCTTTTGGCAGTCGATTTCTCATCATCAGTGCTGTTTGTTTCCATCATGTCCCCTTCCTCTGTGGAGATGACATGCTGCTGCTTACGGGGTTTCTTCCTCGGGGAGGCACCAGGTGGCAAATCGCTTGGAGGCATTGAAAGGTTATTGGCCAGCAATGCCAGAGACGGGGACACGGTACTCGTAGTCAGAGGAGGGACTGCTGAGAAGGAGGAAAGAGGCAAAGAGCCCAAACCATCAGCAGTGTAAAGGTAACTCACTAGCATCGCTTGAACACTAGTTCCTGTTTCAGCACATTGTGAGGAGCGTGAAGTGTATTAGCACTGCAGCTCCGTATGTGCAGAATTCCAGATGCTAAGGCAGCAGCATTTGCTAGGACAAGCCTATATGATAAGATCTTTAGTGTTTCATACAAAAAAAGCACAAAGAATGAGGGCAGAGACAACTGTCCCTCACTTCCTTCATATCTGAAGCCTATGTTAGCTTAATGCTATGAGAAAGGAATCCATGCCAACATCTGCCTTGTTACTGTAAAAAAGATCTCTCTATGTAGGCCTGCATGGATCACAGTCAATAGCAGGCAATTTGCTTGCCTCTTGTAATAGAGAGTCATATGCAATCAAATGGGACCACAGTACCCTCCTTGCAAGGATCTACTCGTACTGCCCAGTCCACAGCACCACGTTCAGTAGGTTACCGCACCAATGAAGACGGGCGTTGGAGCAGCAGGCAACTTGAGGGAATCCTTCCTGACACTCAGAGGGAAAAAGCTCCATCAGCCATGACTACTGCCACAGCAAAAAATTTCTGGGATGGGATCATTTGACAATTTGGCACACCCACAACTGCCAATAAGATACAAAAGAATCCTGAAGAGCTTAATGCTATCTGCCTGTGCGCCAGAGACATCCGCAGCAAGCAGCTCCTCCCATCACAGGGCAACGTACAGCTGTAAGGAGAGTGACAAAACCAACAACTACACCGGAGCTCTGATACCTATCAACGCGGAACACATTCCTACCGTTTTGCCACTGTACAGCGCCCAACATGAGATCCCCAAGGATCTGAATCTGACTGATCATCTGAGAGCATCTGTGGCCAAGCTGGATAAATAAGGCAACATAATGAATAGTCTTTAAAAGTTCTAGAGAAACATATCCATGAGTTATGGAAGGGCCTTATGAAGTCCTACTCTGGTCACTAATTCTTCACGTACAAGAGAGGCCCTTGGGCCTGAACAGTAGGATTTGTAAAAAAACTGAAATTAACCAAACTGATCCATAATATCTTGGTACTGCTGCTGAGCATGTGTGTTATAAGCAAAGAATTCATGCAGGCTCTTTGGAGTTGGATCGTTTGAAGATGAACAAAGCAGTCCAACAACAAACAATTTCATGGGAGATTAGGGAGAAGGCAAAGAAGAGCTTTTAAGAGTAACAATGCATATGGGGACTCTCTGAATGCTGTTCTCTGCTATCATGAGAGAGATAGAATTTCATTTTTAGGACGGATATATTGAAATCCTCCTAATTTCTCCACTGTCTCAACAACAGAAGAAACAAGCTGATGATTAGCCATCACCTACCAGATACTGGTCGCATTATGTCCATAGGCTCCACTTCCTCTTTGATTTTTATCTCCGGTACGGCAGGCCCCAGCACTGCTGACAGGGCACCGCTTATGGCTGACGGAGGGGGTGCTGCCACAATTGTGGTAGAGGTCGGTGGAGCCGCCGGGACAGTTCCTGGAATGGTGGACAGAGCTGCCGCAGGCTGCGAAGTGGGACTGGCTGCTGCGATGATTGCTGGAATGGCAGAGGGGGGCTGCTGGGAGGTAGGGGGGACCGCAATGGTGGGCTGCTCACTGCCCTGGTTAGACACTGCCTCCATAGACACAGTGACTGGAGTGGCCATGGACACGTGAATTTCAGGTTTTGGCTTGGCACTGTAACATAAAAAAAGGCAAAACAAGCTGAAGTTAACTGCATCTCCGGCATGACAACCTAGCACAAAGCGAGTGAGCGAACAGTTACAAACCAATAAATTGTCAAGCCACTGAACTCAAATGAAGCAGGGCAGAGGCTCCATTTACCTTTCTTCAGCATTAATTTCCAAGTATTACGGAAAAAAGTTGCGAGGCCTATCCTTTACAGCAGTTTTTGTTTGCTTCCAATGAAAGCTCATAACCACACCGGTCAGGTCTGTTCAAAGCAGGCACGCTGGCAAATTCAAAACAGGTTGTTTCCCAAGAGAAAGGAAAACACTCCAATAGCCAAAGAATACAAATCAAACAAATGCAGTGAAACTGTTACGACGCAGTTAGTTGTTGCTGAACTCTTACCCAGCAGGCCTTGGCGATCCCGACGTGCTTCGCATAGTACTCTCCACACGCGTGCTAGCTACGTCCGGCGGCTGAGGTGGAATTAAGCTTTTCCGGACTGCCAGTCTGTAAGAGACAGACCGAGGTAAGATTCCCACCTCCCCGATGCAAAGACAAATACCACTGAGAGCAGAGGAATCCACGCTCTCTTGCCCAAACCAGGATACGAGTTACAGCTGTACCATAGCTCTGTCTTCAGCATAACTGCTTTACCACAGAAAGAGTTTCATTTTACATTTCAAATTAGGTATTAGGTTTTATTTTCCTTAAAGACAGAAGATTACTTGCTCTGGCCTAGTTTCACTCCCACTCAGGGCTTCTCCAAGAACGCCAGCTTTATTTTCATCCTGCCAGTCAGAGCATCTTATGGAGACTGCCAGGCTGTGGGCAAAGGGAAGTCTGGCCATGCCACTGTCGTCCGCTGCTATTTCGAGACCAAGCAAATCATCTGGAACTGAACAGTGCTCAGACAGGATTCTGCTTCCTTTAGTTGGACGAGACTGTGTCCAAGCCTCACTCCAAGACTGCAAGTCCTCAATGCGGATGTTAGGCAGCACAGGGCTGAACACAGAAAGTACATGAGAGACTCCTGTGGAGCTGGAAGCCAAATTGTTGTCCAATACAATCAACCTCTCAAATGGAAACATTCTTTAGTGACCTACCTCTGCTGCTTTAATTTCTTGTTCAGTTTTACAGCCTGCAGCTTCTCTGCCTTAAAAAAGGTTTCCACACAAATAAAAAAAAAATACGTAATTTTAGTCTCATAAGACACTTCAGTTCCAAATATTTCTGGTGGGTAGTCGGGAGGAAATGCATTGTTAATCCTAAAGCTGTCTCTCGCCTCTTTATTCAGACATTTAAAATTAGGCAGGCAACATAAAATATTTTAAGCGTTTAAGTTACTCCCTCCCGTTTTGCTAATCAGATTTCCCAGCAGGGTACTAATCCTATCCTTTCTACTCATCCACATATTCTTCCCAAGAAAAGCTTTGAAGACAAAGCATGGAATTCTAATTTTAGTAGATTAATAAAAACAAAAAGATCCTACACTAAGCAAGAAAGCATCAAATCCGCTTTCCCTCGAAAGGTCACTTTGAAGAGTTAGGAGACAAACCGTCCTTCTTCTTGTCTCATTACTGACAATAAGAGAAAACTGTATCCTACCCCGGGGGAGGAAAAGAAGTCTGTTTCACAGGTCAGCAAATTACTCACAACCATTGCTGACTGAACAATCTGCACAACTTCTCTTATCTCCACTGAAACGGTTCCATTTAGCCAGGCCACGCTGCACAGAAGTGCACGCACGTGGCATCCTCAATCCTACTCACCCATCTGTGGTTGGTTTCTTCCGGAGGATGCTTGGGCGCGGGGAAGAGCCCTGGGCTGGTGCACTGGCACTGGCACTCTGGCTGTGGGTTTGCACGACTGTAGTTGCTGCAGAAGCTGTGTTGAAAGTGTTGCTAATAGGATTGGCTACAATGGTGGCTCCATCTGCCAAGACTACTGCTGGGATGGACGGGCATCAGCACAGCAGAGAGAAAAACAGACACAGAGGGGAAAGAGCAGGAGTTACTTAAGGAAATCTGATGACAAAGCAGGTGTTTGCAGACCGTGTGTTGTCCGTGCTCCTTTGACTCCCTTGATTTTGAACTACAGTGCTTTCAGACTATTTTATGAGCAATACCTTTGCTACAAGCAACCTGATCACTGAACCTTCTGCATGGAAGATGGAAACTACCTCCAGACTAACAACTGCTGCTAGGGAAATCATGTTTTCCAGAAGGAATGGACCACTTGGAAATCACTAGGGAGATCACCAACACAACTGGGTCAACAGAATAACACTCCTGGTGGAGTGTACGTGGCAGTACCTGCCCCTTGTAAGTCAGCACTGTCACTTGTGTTCATGTTCTGACCTTCTGCCCAAGCCTGTTTGGCCAACTAACCGATGCAGAGCATTCAGTCAGTCAGGAAGTCACCGCATGACGTGTCTGCCGGCTTTGCAACAGCACATGCTCTTGCTCGCCATATCCCATTTCTTCAGTAGGATGTTGAGGGTTTCAGCAGACCAACCATTTTTAATGAGAGATGGTTTCTATCACAGTCTGAGACCAGGTTACCAGCTGCTGAAGGTACCTGGCTGTATTTTAATTGCGACTGTGACCTAATGTGCAGCCAAACAGCTGGAAAAACATAATTTACTTGTAAATTACTTTTCCCACAAGGCCTTACTGAAGAGAATTGTTTAAGCTCAGGCATTACCAGCCTTTTCCACTGAAGTAACCCTATGAAGGCTACCCACACACTCCCCCCCCAGTATGGCTAAAAACTATGAATTAATAAATAGGTACAAAATATGTGCAGAATGCACGGATTAATGTATTTTGTGGTCCAGCAGTGACCACTGAGACTGTAACAAGATCATTAGTCAGAGCAGAAGAAAAAAAATGAAGCCAAATCCATAGTTTTCCTGGACTTCAGCAAAGC